CCCTAGTGGAGGTCCGCCGTCAGTATAATTACTAGAACTATGATTGACGGGAAATGCTAGTGGTTTGATTCTCAGTGCTATTGATTATAGATATACTGGACTGTGCAGGGTACAGGAAGTTCTGGCATGTAGCAATCACACTGCCCACAAATATCAAAAATATCCATAAAAAACCCTATTCAAAGTTACCAAGGAATGAGCACCCGAGGCCGCTCTCTTTGCAACACAGGGAGACCCGGGCCGCCATAAACTCCGAAGAGTACGAGCTTGCCAACGCGCCACACCCTAGGCCACATCACAGGCATTGCTGCTCACACTGCGACCGCGGTGGGCGCTGCATCCAGGCACTTGTTATCCCATCACCCAGTTTGTTTTCCTAACACCTGCAACTGAATGAAAATAACTTGATCATGTTTTTATTCCCTTACTTATTCTCACCTCCACTTAAACTTCAGAGGGCAGGGACCTCATCTACCATTCAAAACACATTTTCACATGTTTACATGAAATCTCAGACACACACTTAAACACAGATGTGTACTTATACACTTAGATATGTGCTCACATACTCACACACACTTAGACATTCAGACATGTACTCACTGACACTAAGACACACACTCAATGGCTCACTTAGGAGGGTCTTGCCTGTCTAGCCAGTGTGAAAACCTCTGAGACTGCTGGTGTAGGTTCTGCCCAGGGAGCAGGGGGGCTTCTCCCAATCCCTCTCTGGGGAGGGGCAGAGAGACTTTGTTGGCCAGAGCCCGGGACCCCCAACTACATAAATGGGGAGAATGGCTCAGCATTCTCACAGGACTCTCACAGCATTCTCACTGTATTCTCTTCCGGGGTTTTGGGGTGTCCTTAGGAGAAGCAAGTGGGCCTCTGCCCAGAGAAGACAGGAAGGCAGGGACTTGCAGCCTGTGCGGGCATGTTACTATGTGTGAGTGGGTGAGTACACATGAGGTGTGCATGAGTGTGAGCATGGGAAATTGGGTGTGCGAGCATGTGGTGTTAGAATGTGGGTACGTAGAAGTGTGTTGAGTCCACATGTGTGTACCAGAGACTCGTGCGCCATTGTGTGTCAGAGTGACTATGCATGCCGTGTGTGAACCTGCTATACAGGTGAGGAAGAGGAAAGCGGTCACTAAGAAAGTGCCAACAAGCACCAACTCCAAAGACTCTCCTCCTCCCTGTCCTCAAGAAGCCCCAAGGAGATGAGGGGAGGGCAGCCAGTTGAAGCCCAGTTGTTCCTGAGGTGGGTCACTGAGCTCTCTAAGCCTCAGTTTCCCCCATCTGTACCTAGATCAAAGTTGGCTGTCTGCGTGAAAGGGATAAGGTGGGTGGTAAGCCCGCAATGCAGGGCCTGATAGAGGAGGCTCAGCCTACAGTTGTCACTTGTGGGCCGTGTTGGGGCAAGCACAGGTGCCTCTGGCCGAGTGTCTTCTCCCAGCCCTACACCGGCACCACGTGGGGCCGTGGCAACTCTAGGGCAGGTCGGGGCAAGTTCCAGAGGCCAGGCAATCCTCTCCCTGCTGAGTGCCATACTTCTACCTCACAAGAGGGCTGCCACTCCAGCTTCCGTACCGGGCATTAGAGCTGAACCTAGGGGTGCATGGCGGACCAGGACCGTGTTCCCAGACACCGAGTGTTCTGACAGGTGTATCCCCTATGGGGCCCCAGATACTCCTCTCACTCCCGGCTTTTCAGAACTTGAACCCGGTTGTATGCGATGTGGCCGCCCACTACCCATGCACCACCCAAGACCCTGCTCTCGGCCATCCGAGGAGCGGGGCGGAGCGCCACCGGAAGTTACGTCAGACGGAGCATTTTCTGGAACAAAGCCCCAAGGCGAGTTCCGAGCACCAGGTGAGGGAGACCCGTAGGCAGGGGCTGGGGATAAATGCTAAATTCAAGCTGAGACGCACAGAACTGGATAACCAGTTCGTGGCACTTGGAGAAGAGGAGAGCGGACCCCAAATCTCCATGCCCCCGAGCTCTCCTGGCTCCTCAAGAGCTCGGACAGCACAGGGAGGCGGCATGTGAGTCTGAAGTTTTGGAGTTCCAAGGCCCTACAGACCCACGTCCTGTGGAGGTGTGACTCGGAGCACCAACTGCAAAGTGTGGCGACTGGTCCTCGCCTCGGGGAGGAAGCCGTGTACTCTCAACCGAGGCCGCCGCCTCCACTTGGGCTCCGAGGAGTTCTTCGCCACTGCCGCAGACCTATTTCCGAGGCGGGGAGTCTTCGTTTTTTTATGAGCTTGGGAACTTGGAGCGGACCCTTGTCCACCCCCTCGGTTGGGGGCGTACCCGGAAGTGCTCCTACGGAGGCTCGCGAGGCCGCGCGAGGCTCTTCACCATGGCGACGGCTGGGGTCCCTCAGCGCTTCTGCCGCTGCGCCTGCTTCTGCTCGGAGAACTTGTACTTGCCGCGCTACGGCCTGCACGTGCGCTTCCGGGGCGAGCAGCAGCTTCGCCGGGACTACGGCGCGGTGAGTGGCCTCTGCTGGCTGGCCGCTTCTCGGAGACTCTTCGCACCGTTAACGGGGGCTGATAACAGTAGTGAGAACTAAGCGCTTAGAGGGGTCTGGTTTTGTGACCCCAGCGCTCTGCTTGATGTGTCTACCGCTCACCACCGTGTTGTGAGCGCGGGGCTCTCATGCCCACCTTAAGGGGGGGGGGGGGACTAAGGCCCGGAGACTTTTAAGTGACTTGCCCAGGGTCCCAATGCTCACTGGCCTTTCTGCCCTCAGGTGCTGCGCAGCAGAGGCTGTGTCAGCCCACAGGACTTCCAGCAGCTGTTAGAAGAGGTAACTGTGCCCGCCGCCAGTACCCCCACCGTATACTGCGTGATCCTGCCTCACTATATTTGAATCAGGCGTGCGCGCGCGTGTGTGTGTGGGGGGGCGTCTTCAGTGTCAGACACCTAAAAGGTTCCTTGATCTGCTGCCTACCTGTCCCCTCTGCACAGCACCAGGGTTCTGGTCCCAAAGAGGAAAACGCCACGTTGTTGAGCTCATCCTCTGAATTATTCTGGGAGATAGGTGCAGCTATCACCCCATGTTGAGATGAACAACTTGGGCTCAAGGAGGAGTGTCACCTGCTCTGGGGTTTCACAGCAGTTCATGAAGTTGAGAGCCTGCCCTGGACGACCAAGGCTGCTGCAGCTCCCCTCCCACCTCCCTCACCCGGGGCCTGGGGGTTTGCAGTGGAAGTATCACAGGGGAGCCCTCAGCAGCCTCTGGAGCACAGCACTTGGTGCCAACACTCTGCTTCCCTTTAGCCCCCGTGGGCATGGCTGGTTAAGGTACACAGAGGGGCGCTTATCCAAGCCAGGCCCTGGGTGGTGCAACCCAGAAGGGACTGGGCCCCTTCTAGAAGGAGCCCTCTTCAGCTTCTGGCCTGGTACCTGCATTGGACCTTGGTGGTGTCAGGAGTGTAGGGAGACCTGCTTCCAGCCTGGGCCCTGCTCTGGCTTCCTGAGTCCTTTTCCTTATCTGTACCATGACTTGGGTGTGGGAAGTAACCAGGTCCTGTGCCACCCTAGCTGCAGCAGGAGGTTGAGCGGCGGCAGCGGCTGGGGCAGGAATCGGCTGCCAGGAAAGCCTTCATCGCCAGCTCCTACCACCCAGCAAGGCCTGACATCTATCATTCACTGCAGGTACCAGTGGGCATGTGTGGGGCTGAGGCAGGTCACTGGAGGTAGAAGGGGCCACCTGCTCCAAGTTTCATGTTGGCGTGTTCTGCCCCCAGGAAGGGTCCCTGGCCTCTGAGTTTCTGGCTGCGACCGAGTATAGCACATCGCCAGGTGCAAACCTCCAGGGCCTTCTTCAGCGGCTGGAGACTGTATCAGGTGAGGTCTTGGTTCCGTGATCTGGCAGGACTCAGGAGACTGGGGTTTCTATCCACCATGTCTGCCTTCCCAAAACAAATAAGCAGAAGCTAGAAGAGCCAGTAGGGTCACCCTACTAGCAATGGGCCATGTGGACACACTTACATTTATTCAGGGCCTTCAGTTGGGTCTGAGCCCACCAGCCTTGATGCAGAGACAGATTCAGGGTTTGGCATGGGATGGTGAAGGACCCCTAGGGCCTGTGATGGAGGGAGCAACCCTCTGCTTAGTCCTGGAGGAATGGGCAATAGTGATGTTTCTTGGTGCTGCGAATTCCTGGTCGTGGGGTCTCGTATGGGCTGTTCCCCACGGGAAGTCCCAGGCTAAGCAGCTATTGCCAGTTCCTTAATTTCTGCCTCCGTTTCTCATCTGAAACGAGATGATAATGGTCAATAATGATGTCTGTCTGCAATGGTGCTGTCAGGGTGAGCTGAGGCCATGTGCATACAGGTGTGGAGCACAGGGGAGTTGAAGGTGTTTGCCAGTCTCCTGGAGCCTGGGTTGGTTGGAGGTGGTAGGGACCTCAATTGGCCTTATCATTGCCACCCATTCCCCAGTAACTGAAGCTGTCTTGTTAAAGCTGGGATGTGAGTTGTTCAGAATGTGTGGGGCACGAGGGATGCATCTGCTAAGAAATGTCCACATTTCCATTGCAAGCCAGGACTCTGTACCAGGGCCTGGCAGGAAAGAGTAGCTGCTCTTGCCCTGCCCATGGGGAGCAGGCTTAAGAGACTCTTGGGTTGGGGTATAGATTTTGGTGGATTATCAGAGAGTCCCAGGGCTTGGCTGCTTGGCCCAGGGGTCCTTGGGCAGACATCTTAGTGTAGAGAGCAGACTGGGCATTGCAGTCTGGCCCATAGGCTCCAGGAATGGGCAGGAGGTCGAGAATAGGTTGCCTTATTCCACACACATTCTGTCTACACACAAAATCATCACAGTTACCATAGCATTGAGTACCGATGAGGAAGCTGAGGCTAGAGCAAAGGGAAAAGACATGGGGCTCACACTGCTCATGAGGCAACTGAAACTCCCTGTTTGACCTGGCCCTTCTCCAGAGCCACTGGCCTCACACCATCCCTCCCTCTACAGAGGAGAAGCGTATCTACCGGCTGCCAGTGTTCACGGCGCCCTTCTGCCAGGCCTTGTTGGAAGAGCTGGAGCATTTTGAGCAGTCGGATATGCCCAAGGGACGACCTAACACCATGAACAACTATGGGGTGGGTGAAGCCCTAGGGAGGGGGGCATATCTGCAGTGCTGCAGATAAGCTATGCTCCCTCCGTGCCTTGGTCCTGTCTGTAAAATGAGATCCTGGCAGGATTATTGTGAAACTAACCAAGTTTCATGTTGGCAAAACATCCAGAGTGAGGACCCACCTGTTCCTGTGACCCAGAGTTCCTCTTCCAGGTGCTGCTTCATGAACTGGGCCTGGATGAGCCACTGGTGACACCGCTGCGGGAGCACTTCCTCCAGCCACTAACGGCCCTGCTCTACCCGGACAGTGGGGGTGGCCGGCTGGACAGCCACCGTGCCTTCGTGGTCAAATATGCACCACACCAGGACCGTGAACTGGGCTGTCACTATGATAATGCCGAGCTCACCCTCAACGTGGCCCTGGGCAAGGCCTTCACGGGGGGCTCCCTCTACTTCGGGGGCTACTTCCAGGTTAGTATGTGTGATCCTGTGGCAGGACCTAGGTTGGCCCTAAGAGCCTAGCCTGACCTCTGCTGTCTGCAGGCACCTTCAGCCCTGGCCAAGCCCCTGGAGGTGGAGCATGTGGTTGGCCAGGGTGTCCTTCACCGAGGTGGCCAGCTGCATGGGGCCCGGACCCTGAGTACTGGTGAGCGCTGGAACCTCGTGGTCTGGCTCCGGGCCTCTGCGGTGCGCAACCATCTCTGTCCCATGTGCTGCCAAAAGCCTGAGCTGGTGGATGATGAAGGCACTGGAGATGGCTTCACCCGGGAGGAGCCTGCCATGGTGGATGTGTGTGCACTGACTTGAATCTGGTGGAAACCAGGGTGGGTGGTGCAGTAGGCAAGGGTTCTGCCCCCCCCCCCCTTGAGTCAGTTAGGGCAGAAATAAAACTACCTGTAGCCCCTGGCACTTAGTTCAGAAGGACACACAATCTTATGGGTCATTCTTACAGCAGACAGGCAGGCTTAGGTTGGGCAGGTTCGAAGTGGAGCCTGAGATGAGGATTCTTTGTGAATGGGTCATGGAGGGAATATCCTCAGGGAAGGGGCAGGGCTGAGATGTGCTTGCCCCACCTCCACCCCCAGTTACTGGCTGGGATGTGTGTTGGGGTGGGACAAGTGTGTGTGTGGTGGTGAGTATGAACTTCCCAGGCACCTATCTCCACGGCAAGATGGCTCTGATCTCCAAGGGAAGCTTCCTGGGGAGTATGGTGTGAGCTATCCACAGTGGCCTGAGCTGGGGAGAAAGCACCTGTGCAAAGGGACCTGAGTGGCCACCAGGTGTCTTATCCAGGAGTTAAGAGCAGAGACTGGGTGGCCACTTGACCAGCTTGCTTCAGTTTGCTCTGCACTCCTAGATTTGTTGGGTGATTCAGATGAGGAAATGTGAATAAAGTGTTTATTAAGGGGTTTGTTTGCTGCTGCGTTGTCGTTACTGAGGAGTCTGTGAGGGCTGCAGCTGTGCTCTGTCTGGTTGCACTTTTGCAAAGCAGGGATTTCCTTATTGAAACCTTGACCTCCGGCTTCTCTGGGAAGAGGAGTTCTGGAAACACCAGGCCCCATCCCACCTGGCAGAGATTGGCTCAGCCGCCAACTTGGGACAGGCCCGCAGCCCACTCCCCAGCAGGGTCCCTTCGTGCTCTTGCCATGGTCTCTGCTGCTTGTGTGGACATATGAGGGTATCTTCTGTATTCACGGTGCGGACCGGGGCATGTCAACCTGGAGGGAAAGGGGCGCGCAAGCGGGTGATCATCTCCCAGATCATTAGGCTTCGGGTGTGTCTGACGTGCAGCCCTGGAAGAGAGCCTTCGTGGGAGTTGGGCAAGGCGGATTCTGTTTTTATCCCAGTGTGGGAGTCACGGAACCTGGGGCTCAGAACTAAAGACAGCGGCACCTTGCTCCCCAGCCGGACCGCCTTCCAGAGCACCACCCAGGCCGGAAGTCTCACAGCCACCGCTTCCTCACGAGAAGGCCCGGGGCAGGTGGTGCACTCCGCTGGGCTCACTCGGCTCGTTGGGTAGTGGAGGGAACGGAGCAGCCCGCGGCGGCCTTAAGGCAGCCAGGCCGCAGAGGGGACGGGGTAGAGGGTAGGAGGACGCAAAGAAGGGCTCACAACGCACCTATCAGCTGAGCACCAGGCCGAGTGCGCAGGCGTGGAGTAGTGGGGCGGGGCCTTAAAGGGGGGGCACTCGGAAGCCTCTGCCGGTCAGCGGGGGAGCCTGGGACCCCGGGTGGGGATGGTGAGGATTGTGCGGCTGCTCCCGACCATCCTCTGCCGCAGGGTGGTAATGAGTCCTGGGGCCCCAGAGGATCCGGTCTGGAGCATCCGAGTCTGCTTGCCGGCAGCGTGACTCCCAGTTTAAGCGCGTCTCTCGGGTCTCTAGACCGTGGTGCTATGGCTCATGTCGGCTTTCGCAAGCGCTCGAGGAGTCGCAGCCGGTCCCGGGGGCGAGGGTCGGGAAAGAAAAGGAAGAAGAGCAGTAAGGACCCCAGGAGGAGCTGCTCAGTCTCTAGATCGCACAGTCGCAAGGCCAGCGCCACTGCCTGTAGGGCGGAGGGTGAGGACCAGCGGGAATGGGAAAGGGGCGCGGGAACTTCATGGAGGAAGCTGCGAGCTGGGCCAGCCTCCCCGACCAGCTAAAGGGACATCGCAGTGAGCAGTAGTCAGAGGGGCAGGGTGTAGAACCTGGATATCCGGGTTGACAGATCCTCAGAATCCAGGGGCTGGAGCCCTTAATCATGCATTTTATGCAGCGGTGCTGAATGGGCTTCCCAGGCAGTGACCGTGGAGACAGGAAGAGTTGATTCCTGCTCTGGAAAATCCTGCCAGCAGGGTCTTAGCCCTTTGTAGTTGGCTTGAGCCTTCCAATAGCCAGAGCAAGGGAACGAAAGTTTTTTTATTTCCCTTCTGGCCTTCCAGCCTCACCTCCCTGCATCACAGAGAGAAGCAAGCACAAGACCCGGAGGAGACCAAGATCCAGCTCCTCCTCCTCTTCCAGTTCTTCCAGCTCCTCTTCCTCCTCATCCTCCTCTTCTTCCTCCAGTGATGACTGGAAGAAGCGGGGGAAGCACAAGGACAAAAAGAGAAAGAAGAAAAAGAAAAGGAAGAAGAAACTGAAGAAGAAAGGCAAGGAGAAGGCAAAGCTGCTGCAGGTGGAGGCTCTGCCAGGACCTTCACTGGACCAGTGGCACAGATCAGCTGGGGAGGAAGAAGGTCCAGGTACTGCTGCTTAGGCTGCAGGAAGGGGCGGGTGCCTTCCTCCAGGCCCTCCCACCACCCCGCTCCCATCTCCCCTTCCAGTACTGACAGATGAGCAGAAGTCCCGCATCCAGGCCATGAAGCCCATGACCAAGGAAGAGTGGGATGCCCGACAGAGTGTCATCCGCAAGGTGGTGGACCCGGAGACGGGGCGCACCAGGTGGGCAGCACTCAGCTACAGGCTCGCGCATGGGAGCTGCCCTCTGCTGCTCTAAAAAGGCCAAGGAGGGTGGAGTGAGCGAGCAATGGTAGGGACTTAAAAGGGCCTTGAGAATCTTCAAAGAACCACTGCTGGCTGGGGTGATGGCAGCACACCCATTTCCTGATCTTTGTCTAGGGGTGCAAATGCCTAGGCCTCCACTCACTCAAGATGATGGGGGCCTGAGCCTGTATCCCTCTGCCAGATGGTTCTGATTCTGTTGCTCAGGCATTCGAGGCTCAGGCTCCCCTTTCTCCCCCAGGCTCATTAAGGGCGATGGCGAGGTTCTTGAGGAAATCGTAACCAAAGAACGGCACAGGGAGATCAACAAGGTTGGTGTTGCCCCTCTGCCTGTGGCCCACCCTCACCTCTATTTCTGACGCCCCTCTTCCTGTGTTCTCTCATCCCCAGCAAGCCACCCGAGGAGATGGCCTGGCTTTTCAGATGCGGGCTGGGCTGCTGCCTTAAGGTCTTTGAACACTGTTGGTGACATGGCTGCAGACAGGCCTTGTGGCTGGTGGCAGGGAGGCCCAGCCGGTGCTATTTTCCCTTCCTTCCGTGCGCCGGTCTCTGGCCTAGCCTCCTGTCAGATGGAGCAGGCAGAGGAGCAGGACCTGTTCAGGTGGCCTGACAGCTTGCCCACCTCCTGAGACTGCATCTTCCCAGATATTAAACACCCCCTGGCTAGAGACTTATGTTCTGTTGTTTTTTTTGTGTCAAGGAAGGAGTACAGGTTAACTCGTGGCAGGGGGTGGAGTGGGAGAGAGGGTTCCAGGAACTCTTGGGGAACCTGGGGTTGCCCTGTAGGACTTGAGCACTCTTCTCTGCTTACCTTCAGATCACTTGCCTGGATTCCATCCCCAGCCCCAGATAAATCTCAAACCCAGAGACTGTGCTCTTAAAACTGATTCCCTCAGGGTCCAAGGGAGATGCTCTGCAGGTGACAGTAGCTACTGGCTTGAGTGGTCCAGGTGGGAATCCTGGCCCAGCTCACCATGTCCTCTGTACAGCGGAGGCCGACGGCACCCACCCCACTGCGTTGCTGTGAGGATGAAGCAAGTTCATGCCTTGGGAGGGGCTAAAAGGGCCCAGCCTGAGGTAAGGTCCGCATGAGCGAGTTGGTGTTACTATGAGTGCAGCTGCCTTTGTTTACTGGAAGGGTTGGCTCTGACCTTGCCCAGGCCCCCACGCCACCCCCACCCAGTTGCCATTGCAGTAAAGAGACCCAGAAGGAAGCCTTCCTGCTTCTTTAATCGGTGTATCAGACAGTGACACTGTATACAGAGCACACTCAGGCCCAACAGTGCAGGGACAGTAGGGGGTGGGGCGAGTCAGGACACTGTTACAGGTGGCCCAGGCAGACAGACAGACAGACAGGATGGGAGGAGGCCAGACATGAAGACTGCAACGCGATGGGTGGGCAGGCAGCTCAGAGGAGCTGGGAAGGGGCGGGGTCTCCGCTGAATCCCTCTTTAGAATCAAAGAGGACAAGTGGGGGGAGGGGTGTGGGCTGAGGCTTGGGGGTGGGTAAGTGTGGGACTAAGGCTCTACTCTAACAGGCCTGGGTGGGTGGCAGTCGGCAAGACCTGCCTCACCCTTTGGTTACGACTGGTCAGGCCTGAGCCCTGCAGCTCAGCACCCAACACTGTAAACATTTTTGGTATTTTTAAAGGACTCTGCCCTCCCTCTCTCAGTTTCTATAAAATTGGTGCTTCCTCAAGAGGAGAATGTGCCAAAAGGAATCTTAAGGGGGGCAGAAAGCAGACCTGGATATAGAAGAGACATCACGGGAGGGTGGGCTGCCCATCTCACCACCTATGGCTAAGGGCCCCCAGGAAAGGCCCAGGGGACTATTGCTGTTGTCCTTGGCATGGCTGGCGCTGGGCAGGCAGGTGGGCAGGGGAGCATGGAGTCTGGGGAAGTGGCCTTGGGGAGAGGCTGAGCCCTCTGCCCACACGACTTCCTTGGGCCAGGAGGCCTCCCAGCCTTTATTGCAACGAGGCCAAGACTTCAGGGGCTCCCCCGGATGGCTGGTCACCGAGGCGGCAGGCAGGGTAAAGGGAACTGAAAAGACGAGGAGGCACTGGCCACAGGGCCACTGGCCGGGATGTGATTGTCAGGCCAAGCGATTTCCTGCTGGGGAGTGAGGGGTCAGATATTGCACTTTCACTGCAACAGTTACATTAAAACTTGGTCCATAAAATAATCATGGCTTTATACATAACACCTGAAACAACAACAAAAAGCTACATCTTAAATATGAATAAACCCTGAAGGTCCCATCCCTTCAGACATTTTTCTCTGCACAAAATAAATAGCTTCACTCTGTATAGACCCACTTTTGCAGAACATTTACACAACCCTTTGGCTGTACATATCTATACACGGGAAAATGTCAACATCAATCTGCCTCCCTGTCCTGGCTGTGAGGGCCTGAGGCCATATCCAGGTTGGCAGCAGCCTCTTAGAGGTGGAGCCTGCAGGCCCCTGGGGGTCCCCCCAGGACACCCTTCCCCTGTCCCCAGTCTTGCAGCAGGAGAGCCACAGCCAAGTTCTGGGTGGTACTGGGGAGGGAAGGTCGAGGCTTGGACCTGGCATGCAGGACTGCACGGTCCTTACCAGGTGGGAAGTGGCATCATGGCTGCCTGCCCTTAAACTAACAAAGCGAGTTGTGGCTTCTTAGATTCGGCATCGAAAAGGAATTGGCATTAAAAAAACCTAAGTGTGTGCCCCACCCATCCCAGAGTAGAAATTCAGTGGATTAATGGGGTCAGGTGAGGCAGGGAGCCATTCCCTGCCATGTGGGCAGAGGGCAGGGCCCTGGGACCCAGAACCAGGCTGGACTCCATCACAGTGCTGGGTGTTTTCATGTGGAGGGGCTGCGCTTGGTACTGAAAGAGTTAAGAAAAGGAAGCAGCCAAGGATTGCTCATTAAAAAAAAACCTCATAGAAATCAGGTTGGAGTAGAAAGGTGTAGAAACGCAGAAGGGCCGCAGGAGGGCCGAGGCTGGGGCCTTGACTGATGGCAGGCAAGGAGCAGAAGAGGAGCCAGGCCTGGCCAGGTCCCACAGCCCAAGGCGGGGCTGCTTGGGACCTGGCTGTGGCTTCACAGGCCCCGTCGCCTGGGCTATGCCCAGGGCCACTGATGACGCCAGGCCTGCAGCTGGGCTGGACTCCAGGTAGGGCAGGTAGACAGGTGGGCGGGGGTCCAGTGCTGCAGAAATGAAGATATGGCCTTCTCTCCAACAAGGTGAGTGCCCTGGTGTCTTCCAAGTGGCAATAGGTCCTGGATCAGCCAACTGAATTGTCGTGCATTCCAACAAGTCCATAGCCATAGGAGATGATAATGGGTCTCCGCTCTCAGAAATCAGTGCAAAACCAGTGAGGTTAAATAGTTAACTCAAATTAACAAGAAGCAGGCTGGACCCCATTGGAGGTGCTACCAAGTAGGAGTGGACCTGGGGGTCACCATGAGCTAGTGACTTAGGAGGTGGCAGACTGGGCCCAGGCCTGGCGTCAGGATGCCAGAGGTCAAGGCAGGGCAAATGTCTAGGAGCATCTTCTGTGCCCGTGCATTCAGGGGACATGGTCCCTCTGTCCTCTTCTAGGCTGGTTGTCCTGCCAGCTTCTACCAGCTGAAACCTCTCAGACCCTAGGGCATGAGGCACGGCTGGGAGGGCTGCATGTGGCACTTAGTGTCCTCCACCAGGCCCTGGGACAGGCTTGTCCCCATCAACTGCATGTGCCCAGGTCAGGCCTGGCTGGGCTCGCCACCCCGGCCTAGCACCATGGAGACCACAGCGCCTTCCCGACCAGTGCCCTACTTGGGGCCGGTGGCTGTCCCTGGCTCCAGCCGGCCAGCCATGGTGCGGCCCCAGCAGCCGGCAGCCACGCTCATGCTGCGCTGGCCCCGCTGCTCGCAGTCCGCCTGGCTCTGTGTCCGCTCATGCCGGTGGCCAGGCCCACTAGGCTGGGCTGAGATGGTTCGGAGCAGGTGGTTCCGGGAGCGCAGAAAGTCGCCCTGACCTGGCAGGCCGAAGCTGCCCTTACGCAGCGCCATGCGGGTGGCTGCGTTGCGAGCTGGCCGTGCCCGGTGGTTGTACTTGAGCTGAGCCAGGTGGGCTGCGTAGCCATCAGTGATGAACTGGGGGAGGGGAGAGGGCAAGGAAGAGGACAGTGGTCATGGCCAAGCTCTTGGGGCCTCCAGTCCCTGCTGGCTAGCATGATGGGCCCACTCACCTGGCACTGCTGCTGCAGCTTCTTGGTGGGCCGGCCCACAATGTAGATCTGCATGGGGGACAAGCTGATGGAGCTGTAGACTGCCACGTCCTTCGTGGAGCCATAGGCTGCGTGCACGCGCAGGTGCATCTGTGGAGAAGACAGGTGTGGAAGCCCACCCCAGCCAGGCCTTGCTCCAGGCAGAGACCTGCCCTCACCAGGCCCTGTCCCAGATCAGCCGTCCTCAGACCAGCACCTACCTCAGAGATGAGCAGCTTCAGGAAGTTGGCTTTGTGCCGCAGCGGGTCGTGCACCAGCCCATCACAGAAGGACACCACACCATGGGGGAAGTTGTGCTGGGCCAGCCATGCCACCACACGCTGCTTCTGCATGTCTGGCCGGCCGGTCACATAGATGATGAGGTAGCCCAGGTCCTGCCAGTGCCTGCATTGGGGGCAGGCTTGGGTGTCCACAGCTGCCCTGTTCTCCTTCCTGGGCCCCCATTTCCTTGCTCAGCCAACCCCCACTCAGGCCACTGAAAAGTGCCTTTCTGATCCAGTTCCAACAGTGACACTGGCAACGACAGTACTTTGTACCCACCTGTGGCCCACAGCTGCCCTCAGCCGGTGCCAGCCCCGCCTCCCTATCCACACCAGAGGTTAAAAACCTGGTCCAGAGACACGGTCAAATGCCCTTCCTGTGGCACCCCAGACTCTCCCTGCCCCCTGGTCGCCTCCAGAGCCTCCTCTATGCCCATCCCCTCCCCTTGCCCCTCTGGCCCACTCACCGAACCACATCCACGGCTCCAGCTCGCACTTTGGGGTCACTGCCCATGATGGACACACTAGCAGCAAAGGAGCCATCGATGCTGAAGACCACAAACTCCGTGCCCTTGGGCAGCACTGTGATGTAGCTGTCAGCAAAGGTGTGGTCTCCCCTGGGGGGAACAGGTCATCAGAACGTTGAGCCCCTCCACCAGCCCCAGCCCACTTCTGGCAGAGGCACCTACCTGACCACCATCTTGACAGGATAGACGCCCACGCCCAGGCGGTGTGTCTCAGGTATGCTGTAGGACACGCGGCCACTGCTATTGGTCACCAGCGTGTCCAGATACAGCCACTCACCCGAGGGCGGCTGTGTCATGATGTGCACATCCACCTGGGGGAGGTTGGTCATGGCAGGTTGTGCCCTGCTACTCCCTACACCCCAGCCAGGGGGAGGCGATACAGAGGGCCCCTCACCTTCTCTCCAGTCAGGGTGACCATGTCCAGGGGCCCATACATGAACCGACCCGTCAGAACCTGCGGCCCATCCTCGTTGGCAACTGCGTCATTGATCCTGTGGTTGGCAGTCACGTTCTGGGGAGCGGAGGAGTGAGGTGGGGTTGGGATGGGAAGGAGGGAGGCTGGGGTCTCCTGCACTCTCCTCAAGCCCCTCTGGCCTGAAGGGGGTGGGCACACTTTAAGCCCAGCTGCTAGGTTGAAATCCAGCTTGGCCACTGAACTATGTGGCCTTGGGGGAGTAAGGAAGTCTCATGGTACCTGCCTGGCTATAAATGAGTAAGCACCACCCTCGCAGGTTGTAAGTCTCGGGTAACCCTTTTCTGCCATTGGCTTCCTCATCTACAGATGGGGGCCTCTGGCAGGATGCAGCATGGGGCCTGCACTCCACAGACGCTCACCCGCAGCTTCACGTGGGTCCGCTTGCGCTGCCACTTCTCTCTGGGCTTTGAGGGGGTGAACACCGATACCTCCTTGCCGTCCAGCTCCAAGATGCTGGAATTGTCATGCCGCATGACCTGGAAGGAGATGGGCAGAGGCAGCCATGAGGCAGGCTCCTGGCTGGGGCCTTCTGTTTTGGAAGGCAGAGGCCAACCACCCTAGGAGCCAGAAACAGGGACCATAAGGACTTGGGAGGACACTAACCCACTACAGTCTATCCTCTGGACCCCACAAATTCACATCTGTCTCATGAGTGTGCAAATATAGTCACCCTATCTTGACAGCCCCCAATGGTTCCTCTATCTTGCCTGCTCTGTGGTCTGACAGAAGTCAGGCAGGTGCCCCCACAGCCCTCTCCTTGGCTAAGGGCCTTGTTGCTGGCAGTGACATTAGGGGCTCTCCCAAGGCCTGGGTGTGCCTGGAGGTAGGACCCCAGGGTACCTGTCTCAGCAGGAAGGAGACCACGTCTGTTGACTCCCAGTAGCTGGCATGGAAGAGGTGGGGCAGGGCCACCGTGGGGAAGGCTGTCAGAGCGTCAGGGCAGTACAGGGCGTAGTCGATGCGCTTCTGGCCCCACCACTTGGCAGCAACTGACAGGAGGAGCAGCAGTGACTGGGCTGGGCAGCACTGGGCAGGGACCCAGAGGGTCACCTGGCCCTCAGGCCTGGCTCAGTCCCAAAAGCAACCACTTCTCCCACCAGGGAAAAGGGCACAGACAAAGCACTGGGTGGCAGAGTGCAGGAAGAAGTGTAGGATGCCAGGCCAGTGTGCAAGCAGCCTGAGTGCCCTCAGCCTGAGCTGTTTGGTTTTCCACAAGTTGCTAGTAGGGTCAGGGGGAGGGGACAAGCCCAATCCCTTGATCCTGGTGACCCTCTGTCCTGGGCCCCACTGCTATTTTCTTCTAGCCTCTGTCTGTCCCCAGAGCCCCGAGGCTGTTGAGAAGCTTTGCAGAGGTGTAGTGACAATTCTGAACCCAGAACAAAGTCCTCAGCATCCAGGAGCTGGACCTTCCGGCCCAAAGGCCTGGGGGGTAGATCTGGGCTCCAGACCAGGCAGGCCTGTGGAGTGCCCCCTGGTGGCTGCATGCAGGAGCTGCTCAGTAATCAGACCCCCTGTTTATAGGTGGGATTCTCTGGGCTCTCTGCCTGCTGGTGAACCCCTGGGCCTTCATCCAGCTTCATTTCCCCAGTCTGTGGGCAGCCCCCCGCCCCAGTCAACTTCATCCATTCTTGGGTGGCTGAATGTTCCTAGACCAAGCCTCCAGCTCCCTGGTTGAGGGGAGCGGTGAGGTAGGGTGGTAAGTGCTAGGATGGGGTGGCAGTGGGGAGGTCTGACAGTGAGACATGCCTGGAGACAGTGGGTGATCCCAGCTAGAGAAGGGCATATGTGGGCGGAGGGCCTGCCCTGCTTTGTACCTTCCCTGATGTCCATGTCAGGGAAGTGGGGGGGACTCTGCAAACCAGGGCTCAACTGGGTGGTCTGTGAGCTGCCCGCTGGGGTGCTGGGGGATGGGGGAGGCAGAATGAGCTGGGACAGGCGCCTGATGCTAGTGTGGCTGAGTGGCCCTGGGCTCTCTTGAGAAGCAGGAATAACTGGAGGACTTAGCCACACAGCTGCGGCAGCACAGGAAGGCACTGGGAGGGCAGCCAGGCGTGGGCAAGACGGGCCTTCCTTCCAGTACAGCCACACCAGGCACTGCACTGGCTGCTCTGATGGGCAGGGGCACCCACAGTGGGCTGGGCCAAGCAGGACTACTCTGCTTCCGCCTGCTGAAAAGCTGCTGAGAAGGGCAGGAGGCAACAGCAAAGGAGGCCCCAGACCCTCTGCCTCCTGGGGCCGGCTCCAGGGTGACCTGGCTTCCTTGGCATTCTCAGCCACCTCTTCAGCATTGTGGCCTTGCCCAGAACCACCTCCTCAACATTCTCCCTCAGGGAGCAGCGGTGCCTCCTGGGTCTAGGACCCCTCCTCCCGGACCCAGTGCCTCCCAGCTATCCAGGTGGAAGTGCCCAGCTCTCCCCTGCTGGCAGCTGGGCTGGGCCGCCCCTTCTAGCTCGGGGTCTTGCTGAGGCCATGTTTCTGGGTCTCAGTCCCAGGGACCAGAGCACTCTTGGTTGTGGGGGCTGCCCTGTGCTGTAAGGGGGCTCGTATCACCCCTCGTCTCTGCCCATGCCTAGGTAACCAGATGCAGTTCCTAGGCCTGAGCAGAGGAGGCAGAGGGTCCTGCTCCGGCAGCAGGAGGGCTCGGGGAGGCCGGCGTGCTGCACTCACTCTGGGCGATGCTGGACGCCGTGTAGCTCTCAGCCATGCCCGACACCTGGCTGGCAATGCTGATCTCACTGGCTCGGCGGAAACCGCGGGTCGTGGGTGCCGTGCTGGGTGAGGAAGGGGTGACATGCTCTTGGAAGACAGTGTTGTGAGCCTGGAGCACGTCTGCTGTGGGTGGACAAGGAGCCAAGACCTAGGTGTCAGAGGGCCCTACCTGGCCCAGCTCCCAGCCTGAGCAGCGCCTGCCCAGGCCTGGCCTGGGGCGGACAAGGCTGGCGCCCTCAGCTGCAGAGGAGCCCTGGTACCTGAGCACAGCTGGCAGGGGGTGGGCCTAAGCATGCCAGGGCCCATCTGCTCAGGCCAGGAGGGCAGGGTACAAAGCCAAGGCAGAGGAGGAGGGAGGACTGGGGCAGGGAGAGACAGACTGACACAGACACGGTAGGTAGGGAGGTGAGGCAGCCGCCCTTCTTATCCCACATGTAGTTCCTGATCGAGTCTCACCTCGGCCTCCAGGGCTCAGCCCAGCCTGTCTGACCCACAGCCTCAGCAGCTTGCCCCGCACTCAAGGGGCACTAACAACAGAGTTCTGGGGTGGCTGCAGGGCTGCACTATGAGGCCACAGCCCTGCACATCCCCCACAAAGAGGCCATGTGGACTGCGCAGCTAGGTACAAAGGCAGGTGGAGGGCTGAGGCCAGGCTCACCTGGGCCCAGGCAGAAGGCAGGACAGAGCAGGGAGAATGGGGACCCATGTCTAGAGGAGGTACCTGAATGCCCTCATGAGGGAGGAGCTATGTCCCTAAGGCTCCAGCCCCACTGGGATCAAAGGCCTCTCCTGGGGCCCAGAAGGTAGCGAGCTAACCCCACAGCGGCCTAGCTGCCGCTGCCAGCCTACAAAGGGCTGAAGGGCTAGAGGAGCCACCCCCTTAGGGCTCCTGAATCCCCTCCATTTTGGGTCCCCTTGAGCCTGTGCTCCAGGGTGCAGTCGAGGTCCCCAGAACCTGTTCTGCCAGGTCTCCATTCCTTGCCACCACTTCCGACAAACTTGACTGGCCAAGGAGGGCATGGGGGTGATCCTGAGGATCAGGGGTCAGCCAGCAAAGCAGACACCACCACGAGCAAGGGGAGTCACACACACTCAGCACAGCCCGGGCTCGGGCGGGGCCCATCTTGCCAGGAGAGCGCGGGAACAGGGATGCTGGTTTCCAGGAAGCCATCCCCGGGTGGGAGAGGGGCCAAGGGGGCGCCCTCCAGGACCAGCTGGGGGTTTCTCTGCACGGTCTCGACTGGAAGCAGACAGGAGAGAACAGAGAGGACAAGAACAGACACTCGTGTGGGGCACTGGGACACACTGGACACACACACGCGGGCTCCTTGACCAGGACATGACAAGATGCAGGACACACACCAGGACCTGAGTGGACACCAGGCCCTCACACTCACTCCCTATCCTCCCTTCTGCCTCCATCCTCAGGCTAGGGGCCCAGTCCATTCCCTCTGGGGTCCCCAGTTCAAAGGGCAGTGGGCAGTGGAGCCTGCTCCCTGGCCTGAGACCCATCCCTCCTGCCTTGCTGGGCTTGGTGGGGCCGGGACACCATGTGGGGTAGCCAGATCTGGAGGGGTGCTAGAGCTGACCGCCCACCCCACCTCTGGGCTCCAGTGGGGCTCACCCAGCAGCGCAGAGCAGCCATCGCCCAGCGGGTATCGCTGGTAGCGGGGAATACTGAACGGCGGCAGGGCATGGAAGCGCCGCTCCAGCAGCGGCTCCAGGCGCGAGGCCGAAGGATCGGCGGGGTGGAAGAGGTTGTACACCTGCTGGCAGGCGGGCCGCAGCTGGAAAACTGGGAGGCGGCATCAGTCAGTTCCAGAGCCAGCTCCGCCCAAGGAGGCTGGTCCTGGGGCCAGGGAACGGCCCGGGGGGGGGGGGGGGTGCACTGGGCAGAGCCAGAGGGGTGGGGACACCGGGGATTGGGACACAGGAAAACTCCAAAGTATGTTTTTGTCAATTTGGGGTCTGTTTGTTTGGGGCAATTTACAAAACCATTTTTTTTTTTAATGAAAAAATTATTACGATCATGGTAAAGCATTTTTTTTGAATCCAGAAGGGTAGAAGGCTGCTTCCAGCCCAGGTCTGCCAGCACTCCATGAGCACCTTCTGGGAGGTTTCTGGGCAGGTGCAGCCCTAGTACATGGGGCCTGCTGGCATGGGCTGGACTGGCTGGGCTCCTGGACCTTGGGAACTGGGCTGCTGTGTTAAGCATTTCTGAGCTTGCTAGGACCGTGAGTATGAACTATTGGTAGTATATGCCTTTTTGTTAAAACATACCCAAGTAGGTATGCATGCCCTTGTATGTATGCCTGTGAACTTTGTCTCCTGCCCTGTTTATCACAAAAATGTCAGAGCCTTTGCACCCCTGTAGTCTCCCCCATTCTTTTAAAATGAGACATGGAGCAGATTCAACCGTCTGGCTGAGCCAGTTTATTCATCAGCTCTGCTCTCTGTTGATGGAAACTGGAGTTAGTTCTGAGTTTTAATTCCAGATAGTGTCACTATAACACCGCTGCCCCAAAGCCTTGGTATGCTTCTACTCAGGCCATACTGCCTCTGTGGCCCCTTCATAACCTGGGGGTGCCAAGTGGCCAGCTTGCTGTGGTCACAGACTGGGGAGGGTCTTGGGAGCATCATGAAGCAGCACCCCCAGGGCCTGAGGCCACCTCTCCTGGAGGCCTTGGGATCTATCTAAGCATGTCTTCCCAATGGTAGGACCTTGGACTGGGGGGTTGTGTCTGCCCCAATCTGGCCCTGGAGGTGGCACGGGAAGGGGCCTGGGATGCAGCCACAGGCTTGTGATGGGTCCACCAAGGCCCTCTGTCCAGCCCATGTGCCCCACCCCAGCCCTGCAGGGCTCTCACCATCCAGGGCAGGGATGACTGTCTTCCTCAAGGCTAGGACTAGCCCCAGGGGACACCCGAAGAGGAAGAGGTCAGCAATCTCAAAGTCAAACTTGCTTAGCGCTCCTGCGCCATCCAGCATGGTGGAGCTGCTTGAACGGCGGGAGCCAGGCTCGGTCCTCAGCACCCTGGCGTGGAGGCTGTGGAGGAAGCATGCAAGAGCTCACGCCCGGCCTGCTCGGCCACTGGGCTCAAGCAAGGCTTGCCCGAGTGCTGCCTATCTAGGTCACCTCTGTTGACGGCCGGTTCTGACCGGTCTAAGGAGGTCAGTGCCTTGGGGCTAGCTGCTCCAGGGCAGTCCTGCCTGACTCTCCCACACCCCACCACCCCCAGGAGGGGGGTCCCCTGGCTCAAGATGTCCCTTGGGACTTGACAAGCCACCTGCTCCTAGCTGAGAGCGTGAGCCCAACCTGGGCCTCCTGGATAGAAGCTGGTGGCTTCCATAATCACAGTGGCCACTGGGGTGGCCTGGCTCGCATCTTCACTCTCAGCTGTCTGCACCACAGCCCTGGCCTCACCTGGCGGCAGATCGCATGGTCTGCCCCCAGGCCCCAGCAGCCCTGCCCACCTAGAGAGGAAGGCCTGGTGCTGCTGGATGGTGTCCAGCTCATAGGTGGACGAGTCGCTCCTCTTGCGGGGCAGCTGCCTTTTGGGGTCCTCAGCGCCACTGCTTCGAGGGATGTCAATGTTGCTGCGGCTCAGGTGCCGGCTGTTCTCCAGGCCACTGCCACCACCAGAGCAGTGCGGTGTGTTCACCAGGATCCCCGGGGACAGCAGGTCAGTGTCCTGGAATGATCCGAGCAGGCTCACTGTGGTGACCATGGAACTACCCATGCAGTGTCCTGGGAGCTGAGTGCTCCTGCCTGAGTCCAAGCCCAGTGGCCACTGCCCAGACAGCCTTGCCCATGCCAGAGCAGGGAGAGCTCCGTCTCCTGTGCTCCCCCATACCAGCCACGTCCTCATAGCCTTCACGCTGTCCTGTCCTGGTTCACAGGCCCTCCTCACTGGCAGGCGAGGGACTTGGCATCCTCTCTCCTCTGGCAAACCCAGAGACCCTCTCCAACCCTTCCCAATGCTGCATCTCTCCTTGCCCTAGGGCCATTACGATGGGCTGCTACCTGCACGCTGGCCACGCTGCCCCGGCGGCTGCTGCCCTGGCTCTCGGACACCGGCTGGTTCCCGTAGCATAGGGCATCGAACGCCAGGATGCCCCCAACGCAGTCCCCGATCAAGCAGACCTGGGGGAGGAGTGCAGGGCTGAGCGCCATCCTGCTGGCTGGGGAGCCCCTCCCCGAGGCGCTGCTGCCTCCCCTCCCCCACTTTATGACTCACCTGCCCATTGAAGGTCATGCCCTCCTGGGACTTAATGAAGTCCCCATAGGCCACGTTGGCCCGCTGAATCACTGTGGCAATGGCCTCCTGGTACTGGGGCGAAGAGGTGGCCAGCAGGGGCAGGGCGGCCAGGGGGATGTGGTCCTGGCTGCTGGACAGACAGCCTTCGTCGTGGCTGTAGGGGCTGAGACTGGGGGAAGTGACCCGTCAGGAGAAAGGTGACCACGCTCAGACCAGAGGTCCATCTCCCCTGGCCTGGGAGCCTTAGTCGTGACTCAGGTCTGGCCACAGCCTGGGTGGGCCCGGAGTAGGGCCAGAGATTAAGAGCCTGGGTCTCTGAATCAGACAGCACCCACACATCACAGATGTGGAAACTGAGGCTCATCTTTGGGTGGGCCCCCTGGGCTCTAAGCTCAGTTGCCTACATAGGTTTTGCCACTCCCGGGAAGAGCAGCTGAATGGGGGCATCCTGACCCTGGGGTGGGGGAGGCGGGCATACTCACTCAGAGACGAGGGCAAAAGCGTCAGCGCAGATGGGCGGGCAGGGCACCAGGCGGATGGCAAGGTGGCCCAGGGCACTGGGGTAGTGCACCCGCATGACCGTGTCAAACACGGTGGCCATGGTGTTGGTGTCACCCTGCTTGGAGCTGGGGTCCCCGGTGCCTGTGTCCAGGATGGTACCCCCGTGTAGCACCAGCAACAGCACGTGGATCTTGGAGGGCGGCACGGCCAGTGGTGGGCTGACCTCGTCCTGTGGAGGTGAGGATTGGTGTCAGCTCCCCAAATCTTAGCTGCTTGCCAAGGTCTCTGTTGCCCTGGGGGGAAGCCTGTCTCCCCAAGAACCCTGATTTCTGTGTCTCAGCTACAGGCCTGGAGTCAGTTGCTCCAATCTCTCCCACTCCCAGAGAAGCCAAGATGGTCCTTTCTTTCCTCCTAGAAGCCCTGTTTCTCTGCCTGCTAGCCCAACCACAGAGGACACGCAGGAGGGAGCACGCAGGCCGGGGCTTCTGGGGTTCTGGCCGTGGGGAGGAGGCAGAGGCTCAGCCCCACCCTGAGCATCTGCGTCTGAGGCAGGCTCAGCCAGGGTATGCAGTGACCCCTGCTTGGCAAGGCTCCTGAGCACCTCGCCACATCCACACAGGACCTCCCCTGCTCCAGGGCCTGCCCTTCCTGCATCCTCACCATCCCTAGCATTTTCAAGAACAGAGTCATCCCTGCATCTTGGAGCAGGGGGACACTGAGGGTGTACCTAATCAACACCCCCTCACTTGTAGGGTGTAATGACCACGCCTCCTCCTCCTGCTCATGAGGTCAAGGCAAGACCCAAGAATTGCACACTGCTGCATGAGGTAGGGGACTGTTCCTTGTGAGATGAGGTGATAGCCCAGAGAGCCACCTGACATATTTCACATAGCACGTCAATGTCAAGCTGACTGGAACCTGTTGCTCCTGTTGCCAGCTCTAGGCGCTCCTGCAGCCTAGGCTGTTGTCCTCCCAAAAGACCACCCCAGCTCCTAGCTTCTGCTATGTGACTGCATTGCCTTAGATGGGTCCATTGGTAACTGTCAAGTCAGCACTATGTTGGGGGTGTGGAGGGCCCATCCCCAAGGAACCAGACCAAGGAGCTGAAGCTCTCTGCAAGGCCCATGGGAGGGCAGTTGGCACTAACCTGGGCACCAGACAGCGGGAGGTGGGGAAACAGCAGGACCCATGCTGGGTCTGAGAGGTGGAGGTGCTGGACCCAGGGGCTGGCAAGGCCACAGGGAGAGGTCTGGGAATGGGCTGGGCTGGAGCCATGGCAGAGGACTTCGCGACGAGTGGGAGGCTGGTGGGCTGGTACCGTCCGGAGTGGAGGGGAGGGTGGCTCCCTCAGAGGGGGCTGGCCATTGGCCTGTCATGAGCCTTGAGGCATGGACAGGACCCCACACCCAGAAGAGCTTAGGACAGACTCCTGTGCCCACCTGCGGGTTGTCCCTGTCCTATCTGGACAGGAACGAACTCACTGGGAGAGCCCAATTTGACCTCAGATCTTCAAGAAAACCCCATGGGGCTCCAGAGGGTGGTGTGGGTGTTCCATGATCCAAACTCCCCAGAGGCCCCGAGTCCCCACAGAGGTGCCATCTCCACCTTGGGCAGCTTGAGGCTACAGCAGCAGGGGCTGCCCTGGGGAGCCATGCGGGCCCCAGCCAAGTCTGCATGAAGCCGTGCCCCTTCTGCAAGGCCAGGAAAGGAAGCTCTGGTTTGGGTGTTACTGCAAACAAAGGAAGCTGCTTTGGATGGCAGCACCCCTGAATCAGCACAGGGTCTGTGGCCTGCACCGGCCTGCCCCGGACCTGCTTCCTGCTCCCAGTGCAAACAGCTCTGACTGCCCATAGGCAGAGGCAAGGGCCGTGCACTCCAGGCAAAGAACCCCCAAAGCGGACACAGTCGCTGGACCAAGACAGCTTTATTGGACACCGGGAGCGCCCCTGCCCTGGGCGAGGTGGCGGCAGCGGCCACGTCACTTCTGCCTAGCTGGCTTTTGCTTCCTCCCCTTCCATCTTAGTTTCTTCAGGCACAGCAGACCGTTTGGGCACAAGGTAGAGGAAACCTTACTTTTGATCTGGAATTTACAAACGTCTCCTTTTACTTTTCACGGCTGGAGCTGGGCCTTAGGGGGCTGTCTGCAGGCCCTGCTTTTCTGGGGGGGTAGGGGCCGCTGGGGGGAAGTAACAAGGAGGACCCCTCTTGAAGGGCACCTGGGCCAATGTGGATGTGAGGTGGCGCTTGCCCCAGGAGCTCCCTGCCCCATCCCAGGTCCTCTGCGCCCCACCCCTGCCCCATGAGGCACCCACCTCCATGATGTTCAGCTGCTCCACACTGGAGGCCACCCGGAACTCGGAGGCCCTTTGGCGGTACAGGCCATCTGCAACACAGAGGCCAGGGCTGAGTGCGAGGCAGTCGGTCCCATGGACGAGAGGGGCCCAGGTGTTTCCCCAGCCCTGGTACCCACACCTCGGGGGAGTTGAGTCAGAGAGGGACTCAGCCCCTGTAGCTGCCCACCCCAGCCCCCAGCCCTGCAGCCGCTACCCTGCGTGTCTTCTGGCTCAGGGCTCTCGATTTTGTCCATGAGATCATTGGAGTTCCACTTGGTGATGTCCTTGGGGAATATTTCCTCCGAGTCGGACAGGTCCTCTGGAGGGCAGAGACAGGGGATTCAGCACCCCACTCGAGGGCAGGGCAGGAGGCCTGGCTTCCAGAAGTGGGGAGTGAGCACTCAGGCCCCCTTGCTTCTCTGGGCCAGGCATCCCTCCATGCTGAGTTCTGCTGTCTCCCTTGACAGACAAACACAGGACCCACACCCAGGGGTCCTGAACTTTAAGATAAACCGTGGTAGCATTCACATAACATAAAATTCACCATTTAACCACATTAAAGTGGTATTTACACATTCACAAGACTGCGGCATCACCACTCAAGTTCCAGAACACGCCCATCTCCCCACAGGGAAATGCTGCCCCTGTTAGCAGTTGTCACAGCCCAGTCTACTGGCCAGAGCCCACATGCTGCCAAGCCACTGTCCCTGGGGGCCTGCTCTTCCTGGATGTTACTAAAAATGGACACCCACACTCTGGCCCCATGTGCCTGGCTTCTCTCAGTGTCATGTTTTCACGGCTCACCCACAGGGCACATCAACCTCTGGCGACATGAGTCCTTTTCATGCCCGCGTCATACTCCAGGGGATGGAGGAACCACATCAGTTCTGCACTCATCACTATGCTCCTGGACATTTTCAACATCTGGGGCGTCATGGCCAGCAAGAAGCACACCATACAATTCTGTCCCCACTCGGGCTTCTGCTTTGCCAACAGCTGCTGCCTGGGGCTGCTGAGTGGAAGTGGCTGTCTGGGCTCCACCTTCCTGCCATGTGAGGGTTGCTGGCCACTTGGCCCTGGACACTGCTGGCCTGCCATCTCATGCTCCGCTGTTTCTTCCTGTCTGTTCTAAAGTCTCTATGTAAGATGTCTATTTCTTCACATCAAATGAAGACACAGAATCAGAAAGGGCTCAGTCTCCTGGCCTGGCTGGAAGGGTAAGGGTGTCCGAAACACCCCTCTTCATCTCTGGAAAGACCCTGGGTGGAGGGGCTGCTCAGGATCCCTGGTTAGGACCCCTCATGAAACCAGAAACCAGAAACTCCCATTTGCTGGGACATTGATTCCCCAGGTTCTTTCTTGGGGCTGGCCAGTTACATAGATGCTGCGTCAGCTGGCTTCCTATACACACACATCATGGCAGCAGCGAGGAGCTCTGGCCTGCCCTGCTGGGTGCTTGTGGCCCAGCCCCTGTCCCTCTCTGAGCGTGTCCTGCCTCCTCGCTGCACACTGGACACTGTCTCCTGGTTCCTACAAGCCAGCACCAATACAAATGGCAAGAGTGGTTCTGGGACCTTCCCAGAGCAGGTGTTTGGTTCACCAGGCTGTGAGCTGGCTTTGAGATTGGCAGAAAATGGGCACTACCCATATTTTAATGTAAGTGCATTTTCTAGAGCACTTACATTAAGTATGCATTTATTCAATCACAAGGAAGTGAAGTGATTACAAAAAATTTGAAAGTTGCAAGTTTTGTTTTTGTAAAGCTTCTTATAGGAATAGCTTCACACATGAAAGAAAGTTGAAGTCTGACTGTAGCTGCTGTTTGGAGGAATTTGAGAGAAGGGGCCCCTCCTGCCAGGCCTGGGTGGGGATCCAGTCTCCTGATGGCTTCATCTCATCTCCCTCGTGCAGTCCACAAAGGACTTCCCAAAGGTCAGCCCCCAGGCTCCTGCCTCAGCCGTCTCAGGAAAGCTTCCCATGCAGCCCAGAAGCCCACCTACCATGAGCGTCGAAGAACTCGTCGTCCGAGCTCTCGTCCGAGTCCCTAGCGATGCTCTGCATCCTCCACTCAGAGATGCTGTGGCGGGAAGGACTGGCTGGAAGGCAAAATCCAGACTGATGGCACCTACAGGTGGGCTCAAGTGGGGCAGGCCCAGACCTCAGTCCCCAGGGCTCAATCTGCCCCGTGGTGGAGGAGAGGGGTGGCTCAAGAGGAGAAATGAGGGGCTGAGTGGCTGGGACTCATCTTGGTGGAAGCTTCCAGAACTTTCAAGGGCTGGAAAGTGGGCTCCCCAGTCTATCTGACACCATCAAGTTGTGTTGGGAGAATGAGAAAACACAGGAAGGATGTATGGAAGTTCTGGATGTGCAGACCCTGGGCCTGGGTCACGGACCTAGCCTGCCGGGAGGAGGCACAACCCTGCCACAATGGGGCTGCCAGAGGGGGCCGCAGGGCAGGGGGCACAGGACAGATCTCGGTGTGGGGAGCAAGCTTGCCGAGGGGCCCTGACTGTAGGCTGGTGGCCCTGGTGTGTTGCGACAGCTCTGGAAGAGCATGTTCCTCAAATGTTCCAGAGAAGGGCCTGGCTGCCCTCCTGGCACCCTCTCCACCTCGCCCCGGGGAAGCTGGGGCAGTGTCCCAGGCGGCCCTGCCGTCTGCCTTAGGAGGCTGTGGAGGGGAATCTGGGGGGCTTGCAGAGGGTAGAGGGCCCTGGCTTTCACACCAAGGTGGAAGAGAAGCTCAGGCCCCTCTGGGCATGGCCCTCACCTGGGATGCTGAGCCTGTCTCCAGAGACCCGTGGGGCCTGGGACTGAGGAAACAAGGAGAGGCCAGGCCTGGCCAGGCGGTCAGAGGGTGCTCACCTCCCCGCTTGGACGATCGCGAGGACTTGGAGGATGTGGACCACTGCTTCTTCAAGCCCCGGCTGGCCAGGGGGTCCCCACTGCTGCTGCTGGGCTGCGGGGACTCCCCAGAGGCTGGGCTCCTGGCTGCCTCATCCACGGTGAGCCGGGAGCCCTCCTCCTCCTCCTCCTCATTGAACTGGGCCATCTTGCGGGACAGCATGAGCTGCGCCTCCTTCTCCAGCTCCCGGATGTTCTCCATGCTCAGCCCGTACCACTCGTCCTGCCAGCACCAGGCCTGCCTGTGGGCCCGCACCATCACCTTCCGCAGGCCTGGAAAGTGGGGAGTGGAGGGGCAGCACTGAAGCCTGGGTGCCATCAGCTGGCCTCAAGCATCGCTGCGCCTGAGCCTCAGTTTCTCCATGTCAGGGAGGGCTGGCTCACAGATGGCTCCATGCTCATCTGTGGGTTGTATAGCTGGAAAAGTGTCTGCTGGGAAACCACACTGAGTTCTGGGGGGCAGGGAGAGGAGAGTCCCCCCCACCCCAAGCTTCCTATCTTGGTATTTACACTTCCATTGAATTTCTTATAGAAAATCAAGTTCACATTCTAAGCAGGTTGGCCTTTTCTTTCTTAAAAAGGACACTTTTAGCAGAAAATGTTACCTTCATAAAATAAGAAAATAAGATGGCTTTTAAGGTACAAAGAATAATGAACTGTTGAGACAGAAAGCAGATGAGAGTTATCTGGGCGGGGGTGACAGTGGGGGTGACTGTGAACAGGAACGAAAGACACTGGGGTGGTGGAATATTCTAAAACTGTTCCTGCCTGAGCATGCACTAGGGCTCATGGAACTGCTCTCTTGGACGGGGACAAGTGTGGTCTGTCAGGCCCCGTATGCCAGCTCTGCCTCTTGGTGTTCCAGGCCAGGGGTGCAGAGTCATGCCACACTTTGCTGCCCCCTGCTTGGGGAGGTGGGGGCAGGGTGTGCTGCTGTGGGTGTTTCTTAGAGATGCCACAATTTTACAAGAGCCCAGTATTTGCTCTTTTCTCCTGCCAGTGGGCCTGTGGCTCACTTTCACTGTTTATTTGTCCCTTTGCTTTCACAAATCTGCTGAATAACCCAGAATATGCCTTTGAGTTTCTCCAAGGGACCAAGCCAGGAAGGAAGTCCTGGGGCCTCCAGGCCCCCATCCTCTACTTTCTGATTTCTCCTACAGGCCAGACTGCTCCCCAGCCCCAGGCTGTTCACTCTGATGGCCCTTCCCCAATAGCCGTGTCCACTCCCAGGCTATTCACCTCCCTAGCCAGCCTTGCTAGGTCTGGGGAACTCCTCTCACCCCCACTCTTGGGGTGCTAGCCTTTGGCCAGGACAGCCTGTGTGCCCTGGGCACTGGCCAGCACCCTCACTGATGAGATGCCCTGGGAGGCTGGAGCAGGAGCCCTAGGGTGAAGCCTGGCTTTCGGCTACTCCCACCATCTCGGATCATTGAAAACTGTTGGACTCATGAGAAGCCAACAGGGCAGCCGTGCCCAGCTCTGATCCAGTTGTCTGTGTTGTGGCCTGGGCATAGCGATGGAGCTGAGGACCCAGGTGAGCAAGCAGCTGGGTCAGTGCCTGTTGGGGCAGGGGTTACCACCCTGTCATCTTGGGTCCCCTGTTCCATGGTCACCTGCTCCAGGCCAGGCAGCAGGATGAGGACACCTTGTTGTCTAAGACATGGCCCCTGGAGCATCCAGTGCAACAGGGGAGGTACAGGGCCTAGAGTCTGGGCCTCTGGGGGCCAGAGGCCCCGGAGAGCAGCAGGGAGCTGTCTCCTAGGGCCGGCCCCCTCAGGAGGCAGATACTGCATGTTGCAGACTGGAACGAATGAACGAGCTGGAAGTGCCTGCTCAGGGCCCAAGGCCCCTCATGCTCCAGGGCAGCTGCAGTGTTCTGCAAGTACTCATGGGCAGTGAAGAGAAGCTGGCAGGCACACATGGGCTTGGAGACGGCCTGGGAGCATGGGGCGCAGGACCATGCGGCAGGGGCGGGGTGGGGCTCACCCGTGTCGTGGATGAAGCGCTCGATCTTGGACTGCATGCCCCAGTAGCGGAACTCCACCTTGCACAGCTTGTAGGCGCACATGAGGGGGCACACCTGCTGCTTGTACTCCTCGATCCAGTTGTCCGACAGGGGCCCCCGCTGCGTCTTTACCGAGCGGAACAGCTTGGGGTCCTCCTCAGTCCTGTACTCGTTGGGGGGCACCGGGTCCTTGACGATGTCAATCAGGTCTGCAGGGAGATGCTGGGAGTGGCCACTTCTGACTGTGGCTCTCCTCTGCCCGGGACAGTCTCTCATCCTATATTCCCACCCCACATCCTCATGGGGCCCTGGGTTGGACACGGGGGTAAGGGTGATGCTCCAGGTCACTGTGACCCTGACCTGGGACCACAGGGTCTGCGTCTTTCCGTGCTGCCTTGTCATGTCATTTTGCAAACCCTGTTTGGTGCATTCCGATGTGTGAAGCAGTTTATGGGAAATTGTATTGAGGAAACAGCGTAAGGCTGTGGGGTTGAGATAAACCTTCCCACCACGGAGAAGGAAGGGGGAGGGTGGAGGCTGGAAACAGCTTCCAGAAGAGACAGCATTCCAGCTACAGAGCAGAGCCCAGAGGTGGAGAACATGACACCTGGGGTTGCTGGGGTGGCCTGGGTGTGTTGGGGGACAGGGGCAGGATGCAGGGGAAGAAAGCTACTCCTGGGGTCAGGATGAGAGTGCAGTCCTGCTAGGAACGCCCTCCAAGAGAGACCAGGAGGAAGGAGACGGAAGAGGACTTGGAGGGCCAGGCCAGCGCTGGCCCCAGCTGTGAGGGGCCGCAGAGGCCAAGAGCTGGCATGAGGGAGCCAGGACAGGGAGTGGCAACACCTGATGGGTGACGGAGGAGCTGGGGCAGGCCATCTCTTGTCGTGTGCTTTCTGCCCCTGGAAGTGAAATCCATCCTGTGCACCTACTCCCAACCCGGATGTGTGTCAGACGGCCGGGGCCAACTTGGTGCAAAGGAGCCCAGCACAGGGCCTGTGGCTAAGAGAGCACTTGTTCCAGATGTGCAAGGACGCTGCCCCCAGGCTCTGGCCGGTCTGCTCCAAGACTGGAGTGTGGCTTGGAAAGGACAAGCCACCAAGACAGGGATGTGCCTCAAGAAACTGGAGGGGCCTGCAGTGTGGGCCCTCAGGGTGCAAAGGCCGGGGCTGGCCTGGAAAAAGCTGCCAGTGGGCAGGGGGAAGGTTTGTTGCATGCTGTTGTGGGCAGAAACTGTCCCCCTGCTACCCCAAATTTTCATGCTAGAGTCCTGACCCCCAGCTCTCAAAATGTGAGCAGACTTGGAGACAGTGTCTTTAATGAATCGATAAACTGAACTGAGGTCACTGGCATGGGCCTGACTTCTGCGTGCCCAGAAAACCTATGAAAGGGGGCACCTGGCATGTCCACAGCAACAGGGAAGGCCAGTGAAGAGGGAGGCAAGGTCAGTAGGCTGAGGAGTGACAGCCGTGAAAGGCCCAAGTCACCACCAGCCCCCACATGCCAGGAGAGGACCAAGGAACAGAGTCCACCTCTGACCCCAGAAGGCACCAACCTGCCACCATTTTAACCTTGGGCTTCTGGCTCCAGACTAGGAGACAGTGTGCTTCGAGATGTAAGTGGCTCAGCCCTGGCGATGCAGCTTCCAACCCCCCGTGAGGCCTGACAACTGCAGCAGGAGGGAGGCACAGAGCAGGATGTCCTCAGGCTAATGGGGTGTCAGCCGTGTGCCTGGTGCCTCCCAGTGGCCCACATCTGTGGGCCTGGAAGCCAGTGGCTGCAGACCTGTGGCATCAAACAGCTGCCCACAGACGTGTCTGCTTAGCCAACACATGTTTCCAAGCAAAGATGCGTAACAAGTAATTATTGCCAACACTCAGGAGCAGGGGGATTTGGTATGAAAATCTGATTTTTGGCCTTCCTCAAAAAGTTAAAAGGGGGACCTGTTTCCAGCATGGCAGTCGGTGGCAGTCGGAGTAGAATGGAGACTACCCATCATCAAGGGCACAAGGACACTTGAGTTCACTGCACCCCTTCAGGGCAGCCAGCCTAAGGCACTCCCAGAGCACACATGTGCTTCCTGGGACAGGGCACCTGGAAGGGGCAGAGCAAGGAGGCTTGCCAGGCCTGGAGACCAGGGCAGTGCCCAGGGACCCCCCCGGGCAGGGGAACCAGGTGGGAGCGTGGAGGTGGATGGTTACCAATGGTCAGCTGGCTCTTTTCCACAGGAGAGAGGTTGAACACATCGGGGTTTTCTCCAGCATCAGTTTTATAAAAGGTCTCGATGTCAATGGAGAATTTCTCCACGAAAGGGCACGTGAACCTGGGGGAGGAAGCAATCATCAGGGCCCACACTTGGCCAGAGCCTGCCAGGGCCCGAAGGGCAAGGCCAGGTCCGGGCAGGACCCAGGTGGAAGGAGGAGAAGTGGGGTGATGGCTGAGACCTGGGTCCCGACCCCAGCACCTTGGCTGCAGGTGTGCAACCAGAGACGGCATAGGCAGGGCAGGCGCACCTGGTTCGGGTGTAGGGGTAGGCATTCCAGGACTCCTCCACCACCCGCAGGGCCGCCTTGGGCAGAATGGAGCGGAACCAGCTGGGGATGTGCATTCCCACGTGGTACACCTTGTGCGTGTACTGCCCAGAGCCGCCAGGGCCATCTGTGTACGGTCGGTTCTCCAGGATCTCCACGCCGCTGCCTTCGCCAAATGTCTCGTTGCGGCTCTTCTTCTGTGGGGACAAAAGCACCCTCTATGAGAAGAGGGCCAGAGTGCCCGGCAGAAGGGAGGGGGTGCAGGAGATTGCACCTGGGTTTGGAGTGGGAGGAAGGCCTTTGGTCAACCAGCCTTCCCTCCCAGTTGTTTCAGGACCCCTAAACCCAAGCGCCATGTGCCCCATCACCCCTGCAGAAGGCTGAAGGAGTTCCCACCGCCAAGCCTCAGCACTGCTCATGCACTCCCCTCTGTCTGCCCAGGCTGAGAGTGTTTCCTGGATCAGGAGGAAGAGGGGCTTCCTCCTATCCACCACTGCCCTGGAGGCCCCAGCCAGAGGGATTAGGCAAGGAAAGGAAACGGTAAGAGGCACCCAGCAAGAACAAAGGCATCCCCTGGGAGGACACAATGTGTTTGGAGAGTCCCAAGAAAGTACCTCCCTGGGACAACAGAGATCTTGGCTGGCATTGAGGAAAAGTCAGAAAGGGCAGGGTGGGCCCTCATCCAAAAAAAGCTACTAATGCATAACAGCTGGCTCTTTTTTATTCCAAAGCAGAAATGACTCCTGGCTTTTTCAGGTGGGTCATAGTAAAGTGGATGGTGTTCATCAGAATTCAGACCACAAAGAACTGACAAGCTTTTTCCTGGACAATCTCTACTTAAATAAGATTGTGGGTCATTCAGCTTGTGGTTGAATGAACAGGAGAGGGCTTTTGAATTCTGACAGTGACTGCAATTCAGCAAGAGCTGTCACTGGGTGGGGGAGCACACTGGGCAGAGATGGGAGTGCCTTCTCCAAACCTGAGGAGATGGCCTTCATATGGAGACAGATAACTGCTTATGGGAATCTACCCCTTTCACTGTCTCGTGGGACAGAGCAAGACTCACCTTTGCTTCAAGGTGTGCTCACTCGCCTGGTAAAAGCGATAAAGATAAATACAGAATTCTGAACTTCTCAAAAAAAAAAAGAAAGAAAGAAATCACCCAAATTGGAAGGGAAGAAATAAAACAATCTGCCGATGACATAATTTTATATACAGAAAAGCTTAAAGAATCTCTCTAAAATGTGTTAGATCTCATAAATAGATCCAGCAATGTCACAAGACATAAAACCAACCTACAGAAACAAGTGACACAGAAAGGCAATTTAAAAATCATTCCCGTTTACAACAGCATCAAAACATTGAATCCAAGGAATAAATTTAACGAAGGCAATAAAAGTTTGGTGTGTTGAAAGGTATAAAACACTGCTGAAATTATAGACTTAAATAAATGGGAAAACATCTGTGTTCATGCATCAAAAAGTATCATTAAGATGTCAATATTCCGGGGCCCTCCCTGATGGCGCAACGGGTTAGGATGCAGCACTGCAAGATAGTGGCAGCCACTATAGTGCAAGTTCAATTCCCAGTCAGAAGTGACCCACATGGCGCGCAGACCTCTCCTGACCAGCCTGCTGCTCCCCTCAGCAATATACTTCATTAATCTGCCCGTTCTGCTCTCTGTTGGCGACCACTCTGTCTCTGGCAAGGACTTTCACCGCCCTTACACCTCTGGCTTGTATCCCAGTTCTGTATGAATAAATAATTAAATTAAAAAAAAAAAGATGTCAATATTCCCTGAAGCAATCTATTGATTCAAGGCAGTTCCTATCAAAAGCCCAATGGCCTTTTTGGCCAAAACTGACCTTAAAATTCATAGGGAAAAAAAAAATTCATAGGGAAATGCAAGTGATTTCAAATAGATTAAACAATCTAGAAATAAAACAAGACAAGAGTAATCACACTCTCATATCAAAACTTATTACAAAATGGTGTAGACCTGACCTAGGACAGACAGTTCTATGGAATGGAGACCAGGATCTAGACATACGCCTATGTATCTATGGCCATTAATCTTCATCAATAGTGTCAAGACCATTTGGTGGCAGGGATGGACAGCAGGAATGAATGCTGTTGGAACAACTGAATATCTACATGCTGAAGCATGAAACTGGATCACTACCTTACACCGTATATGTGTGTGTGTATGTATATATAAACATATACATGTATGTAGCATATATATAGCTAATCTTTATTAGCTCAAAATGGATTAAGCACCTGGATGTAAGAGCTCCAAGGATTAAAGTCTTAGGAAAAAACATAGGGACAAATTTTATGATCTTGGATTTCACAATGGTATCTTAAATGTGAAACCAGAAGCATAAACAAACAAAGAAAAAATTGCTCCACTGGGCTTCATCAAAATGCAACAACTTCTGTACATCAAAGGATGCCTCCAAAAAATGAAAGGGCAACCCCCATAATGGGGAATATTTGTAAATAACATATCTGATAAGGTGATAAGGATCTTGTGTCCAATATATATATATATATATATAAAGAGCTCTTACAACAAAGAAACAAATTGGCTAATTCAAAAATGGTTAACAGACTTGAAAACACATTTCTCCAAAGAAGACAAATAAATGACATATAAAACAAATAAGCATAAAACATAAAAAGATGTTGAGTAGCACCAAGCCTTAGGGAAATGTATATCAAAACAAAGACACCGTTTCACACCACAAAGTGTTTAGGAAAGACATATGTTAAGTGTCAGGATGCAGAGAAACCAGAACTCTCGGACACTATGGTGGGAATATGAAATGGTGCAGTCCCCTGGGGGAAGTTTGGCAGTTCTTGACGATGTGGAAGGGAGTGTTACCATGGCACCCAGCCATTCCACTCCCAAGTTTACATCCCCCAAACTGAAAGCACAGGTGTGCACAGCAACTTGAACATGAAAATCCATGGCAGCATCAGTCACAGTGAAATACCGAGGGACTGAGAGATAAATGCACCTGTCCTGCGGGCCAGGACTCGGCCATAAAGAAGAAAGAAGTCCAGACGCCTGCCCCATGTCGGTGGACCTTGAGAGTGTGTCACTGCTGAAGGAGCTGGACACCAAGCACCACATGCCATGGGGTCCCATTGGTGTGAAATGTCTCAAATAGCAAAGCCAGTCAGAACACAGACTAAGGGTTGGATGGGGGAGTTGGAGAGTGACATATTTTGGGGTGATGGATATGCTATAAAATTGTGGTGAAGGTTTCACAGCTCTATGAATATGCGAAAAAAACTGCCAAACCATACACTCTAAATGTGTGAACTCTTGTGGTATGTGACTTCCATCTCAATAAAGCTGGTGAAAAACAAAACAAACAAAACCCGACCCTGCCTTCTGTGCTCACTCAGAACTAGAGACAGTGGGAAGGGGCCTGCCTGGATGGACAGGGGACACTGGGGTCATCTGCTTGTGTCTGTCTGTCACTCATGGATGTCCTTCCAGGGTCCAAAAGCTCAGGTTTCTGCTGATGCAGAAAACCCTGAGGCCCAGGTGCTGTGATCTAAGCCAGCATCTGTTTCCATGGTGATGTGACGGCATCTCAAGGCCATCTTCGGGCAGCTTCCTGAAGAGCAGGTGCGTGCTGGGCCCACACCCAAGCATGCACACGGAGCTTCAGGCACAGATGTGCTCTATCTCCATGGGCCAAGGGCAACTTCAGCAAACAAGGCCTGGGTTGAGGCCACAGATGGGGTCAGAGCAGGGAACCTCTGCCCTCTTTAAAGGAGCTTCAGGAATGTGGCCTTTTCCTGGATACCGTCTTACATGAGCTCCATTTCACAGAGGCAGTGTTCCAAGCTGCAGGCACCTCTTTTACTTACTGCAGTGAGAAAAAGCATACTGCCATGCGCCCCCGACGTACAGAGGGGAAGGTGGGGCGCAAAGTGTGGCTAGGCCCAGGTGATGGGGTCACTGAATGGCCCCACTAAGGATCCAGCCTCCCCACAGCATGAGCTCAGGGAAAACCCCTAGGCTCCTGGTGGGTAGGGCCAGAGCTCCCCAGCCTGGGCAAGTCAACAACTTTCTGGTGTCAGTTTCCAGAACACGTGGGGCCAGGGGCACTGACCTCCCGAGCCGTAGGATCGTGCGCTGAAGGGTCTCCCTTACATTCATGTCACCTGGCACCTCAGGCCGTGAGCCTGTGTGCAAAGAGAGTCTTTGCCAGTGTGATAAGTTAGACTCACAAGTAAGAGAAGGCAAGGGCCTTCCTGCTGGTGTAAGGGGTTAAGACGCAGCACTGTGGAGCTGTCTGCACCACTGCAGCACCAGTTCAATCCCTGGCCAGGGAGCTGGCCCACAGGGCACAGCAGACCTCTCCTGTCCTGCTCACTGCTCCCCTTGTCAGTGTATTTCAGTCGGTCTTCCTGTTCTGCTTCCCACTGTCTCTGGTGAAACCCCACACACATGTCTGGCCTGCATCCCAGTTTCTGTATGCATAAATAAATGAATCTTTTTAAAAAAGAGAGAAAGCAGACTCAGCCACACCTGGAGGAGACTTGGCCCCAAGGAGCAGGAGGTGGAGACCAGAGCAAAGTGGCCAGGAGCCAAGAATGCCAAGGCCCCAGCACCTGGAGACACAGGCAAGGAGTCTGGAGAGGGAGCTTTGTTACGGGAGTGCTAGGAAATGAAATAGCTGGGGTTCTGGGTGGCTTTCGGAGTAGAGGACGGTGAGGGTCAGAGGGAGCTGAGTCCATGGTGTCTCTGGGGGGGGGGGTGAGCTGGCTGCCTGGTCTGTAGGGAAGGGACAGGCTGGCTGGAGAGAGGCCCACAAGGACACTCTCTTTGGGCCTCACCGGGGCTGTGAAGCACCCCCTACACTCAGGTGATCTTGGTTGTCTTCAAACTGCCCCTCTCAGGGAAGCCACCCTGGCACCTCCCTTGGGAGCCTCCTGTGGCTGCCCCATTGTCCTGTCACCTTCCTCCCTATGACTCCATGTCCCCACCTCCTCTTCTCATCAGGAGAATAACCACTTGGTTCAGAGGCCCCCTGAATCCAGGAAAGTCTCATCTTGAGACCCTTAACTAATGACATCTGTAAAGACCATATTTCCAAATAAGGTCCCAATGAAGTACTGGGTAAGCACAAATTTGGGGAGATGCTGGTCAGCTATCAGGTGAGCACCCCCCAAA